GATGTGGGAGCAAATTTAAAGAAAAATAAACAAAACAATTATATGGACAATTTGCCTCGCCGTAACTGATTACAAATCAATTACACCGAAAAGAATCTCAAATTAGGTCTTGGACAGCATTTATATTTTCCGTCTTCTTGGTAAATTTCGCAGCCTCAAGGAGAACGATATTGCCTTTTTGTGTGTGCGTGTGTTTTGGCTTGAATGTCTCCAGTGTTCAGTACCACTGACAAGAACTAATAGCACACCGTCAGACACTTGGTTCCTCCAAAGAATAAGAGAAACCGCGCTCGGATAAATGCCAAGAAGAAGCGTGACGAGGAGGAATTACACTTCAGTACCATCGGATGCCGCAGTCACCAACCAAGCCTAACCGACCATGGAGAGTTAAACAGTCCGTCGCGCATAACACGCAAATCGATATAACGTTTCCTGCTTACTTAACGAAACATTCGCAAATGAACGCAACGAGAACAAGAAGAACGAGAAAAAAAAGAGAAACACACCAATTCTACGAATCACGGTGACGATTACACCACGACAACGACGCCACCACCATAAACGCTACTCCCTCGACGCCCGCCTTGCAAGCTGGCTTTTCCGTTCAACGCCGCTGTTAGGCGAGAAAACAATCTGTCGCGAAGCGGGAGGGTACAAGTGAGGAGGGAACAAGCAACGTCGAGACGTGCAGCGAGCGAACAAATCTCTCTCTCTCTCTCTTTTTTTTTTTTGAGCGAAAGCGAGAAACTAACAGCCAGCAACGACTCGTCGACCCTCCTCCCCCTCTTCTATTCCCTGTCTCTCACACACAATCTCCTCCTCCCATGTAGAACACGACAGAAGTTTTTCGCCCCGCACAGCCAAATTATCCATTCTAACGACCTCGAAGAGGAAAATTAAAGAAAATTCTAAAAACAAAAAGACGGGAGTAAGCAGGAGGAAACGAGATCGGTCGTAATTTCACCACCGCCTGGGGAGCGAGCAATATCCGCCGCTCGGAAAAGCGCCTACGGGTGTGCCCCGACCAACGAAACGGTTTCTTTCACTGCGTACGAACGACGTCATCGGTTCGCAGTGGGAAAGAGGAAAACGTGCTTACGGAAGAAGGTGCCAGGCAGGGGCGTATAACCGGAGATCGATACTGCGAGGTTAGAGCGGGAGAATAGAAAGAGGTTACAACAGGAGAATAGGAGAGAGTGCAACGAAGTAACAAAGATACATTCAAATAAAATCGAGCACCAATTGTAGGACAGCGGCACCTGTGGTTTTGGGTTGCGCGAGAACAAGCTCCGATCCATCCCGACGACGCTATTCGAGCGATTCCGTGCCTCACGATGCATTGAGCCACACAGGAGAACGGAAGTAAGGAAATTGATGATGTTGATGCTAACGTGATTCTGCTTACAAGCTGTGTTTTTGGCGAAATGCACACTTGAAAAAATTAAAGAAGCAGCTTCAAGTAATCTATCTATCTATCTATTTATCTATCTATCTATCTATCTATCTATCTATCTATCTATCTATCTATCTATCTATCTATCTATCTATCTATCTATCTATCTATCTATCTATCTATCTATCTATCTATCTATCTATCTGTCTGTCTGTCTGTCTGTCTGTCTGTCTGTCTGTCTGTCTGTCTGTCTGTCTGTCTGTCTGTCTGTCTGTCTATCTATCTATCTATCTATCTATCTATCTATCTATCTATCTATCTATCTATCTATCTATCTATCTATCTATCTATCTATCTATCTATCTATCTATCTATCTATCTATCCATTATTTATGATAGATAGATAGATAGATATGACAGATAGATAGATAGATAGATAGATAGATAGATAGATAGATAGATAGATAGATAGCCGATCGCGGGCTCCAATTTCGCCTGACAGCGAACCTGACCGGTGCGACGGCATAGAATGAATATCTAGCGTTACTCCCTCTCCGTCCTCCCTCCGCCACACATAGAGAACAGACGGAAAAGGGTCGACAGCACAGCGGCGGCGTTGAAAACGAGGAAAATTGGTACTGATGAGGCGGCCTTCGCCGCTCTATAAAGCGAACGCGTCGTGCATAGTGCAGCACATTACGCGCCCGCTGGAAACACACGTGCATAAATTACATCAATGCTTTTTTCTAGGAGGCCTTGATTACACCTGGACACAATCCGTCATCTGTCTTCTTCTCCTGCGGGGTTAGTTTATTTTTAATAATGTTGTTCTCTTTCACGATGAGATAAGTGAATAATGTTTCTGACAGGAAAAGAACTTTGCTTCATTCACTGCTCGTTTTAAGTACGCGCTCGCACCGAAGGCATTGCTTCGAAGTTACGACGCGCTCGTGCAAGTTATTATAAAAATGAGCTGACGCATGTAGTGTCTCTCTGTGAGTGAAGAAGAAAAAGAGCTTTATTATAATGTCCAGCGATTTGAAAAAAAAAATTAAAGCGCAACTTTGCCGCATGGTTGCTTTATTCAAACTGGCGGAACATGGGAGAGGCCTTTGTCCTGCAGTGGACGTAGTCAGGCTGATGATGATGATGATGATGATGATGCTTTATTCATAACTTGGAAGTGCGATGACGCAAGGCAATGACATTAGGCGTTACGTACAGGTAGCTACAGCGCTGGGAAAAATATATGAATATGAAAGAATAAAAGCTTCGCTACGAACGTCAGCGCATGTGATGCAAGTGTGCTGAAATTGATGTTCGAGACAAGCAAAAGGGGAAAAAAAAATGACTCAAAGAGGAGGATCGAATTCCTAACATTGAGCTACGGAAATGTCGCTGCTGCCTCGCTTACAAAAAACGGAATAATTATCTCCACGCGTTGTCGGTGACCGATGGTTCCGAGCATGATCAACCCCACAAAATGAACGAAAATCGGCAGCAGCCGCAGCTGTATAGCGGTAAAATTGAGCGCCCCGAGAGGGTACTCAGTCACGTTTCCGAGCAATAGAGATTAAGACACTTGCAGTGACAGGTCATATCGGGATGCCTCTTGCATGTGTTGCGTTCTTTCTTTCTTTTTTTTTCTACCTGCAAGGATCATATTTACTTGTTCTCTGAAAGTCACGCGTATCACACAACAGAACTAGTCTAGGACATCTGAACCAGATAACTTTACGAAGAGGACTTGAGACAATGCTCGTTAGTCAGCCTGCGTATTTGACGTGATAGGTGGTGTCATCTGGCGGAGGAGAGATGAACCAGGCATGTAAATTATCTCTTCTTGCTGTAACCCAAGTATATATTGTCTGCTTTGATGCTGGTGTACGGCAGCTGCATTAATAAATAAATAAATAAATAAATAAATAAATAAATAAATAAATAAATAAACAGGCGCTTTAAAGGAATGAATAACATTGGAGCATCCACGGCGCAACTCGATGCTAGTGCTCTCTCTCTCTATATATATATATAATATAAATATATATATCACAAGATGCCGCAGGAGACAAAACATTTGAAACTGGCAACTTCCTTCTAGCCACGCCGTCCGAATCGATGCAGGCGAGCCTTCATCACGACCATATACGAGACTGAACCTCGGAAATGAAAAGTACACACTTGCGAGTGGTACAAGTACGTTACAGAGGACACTCGTTAAAACGGACCCAAAGCTGAAAAGTTTATTAAGACTAACCGTACTTCAGCAACACCAGCGCATGCCGCCAATAAAGCCGGAAGAGGCGTGCCCACGTCGGTGTGCACAAGGCGAGCATTGCAGAGCCACTGAAGCCCGTCGCGAAACTGCATGGCCTGTAGAGACTTGTAACAGGTCACGTTGGGAAACTATAAGACTGCGCGACGAGTTCGTAACGATTTAGTGGTTGAGCTTGGGCGAAAAAGCCGTATTCGAAATCATACAGAACGTTCCGCACAATATGCAGCAGCAGAAAACCAACAAATAATCATCAAACTCTAAAGGGTAGTTCTTTATAAGCCAGGGGTAGGGGACTCGCTTGCTGGATTCCGTGCCGACCGGTTGTGCCCTCGCGATATCCGACGTCAACGTAGCTCTGGCCGACTGGGCTCGCCCTACGTCATCTCCCGACGCCGACCTCCGACGACACTGTAGCTCTGACCGACTGGACTTGCTCTACGCCATCTCCTGACGCCGACAAGAGCTCTCGCAAGTGGTGCCCCGTCCTCGGACTCCTGTGACCGTGTTTCCATCTTTCCTATCTCTCCTATCCCCTCGATTTGTCATCGCTCTCTCTAGCTTACCACCTCACGCCTCTTGCTCTTTTCTACACCTTTATTCCTACCCTTTTAATCCCTCCTCACCCCCATCCCTTGTGAGCTGCTGTTGAGGTGTCGCTCACCGAAGCAGACAGTTACGGGGCTCATTTTTCTCTTCCTTTCTCTCTTAAGAACCACTCAGTAGGGATAGTATGTGCACTGCAGTGTTTGTGATTTTCTCCTCTTCTGCCTTACTTTTTTTTATTGTTGCTTTGCTTCTTTTTTTCAATATCAATGCGAAGATGTTAGGATTGCCGCTATTCACGTAGCCTACCTTTCCATGTTTTCTCAAAAATATATAAAAATAGAATAAATTGAAATAAAAAAAGGTCATTCTCTACGAAACCTAGAATTCTTCTCATTAATGTGATGTAACTGACAGCGGCTTCATTATGAAATTTCAGCCCAGAGAGTGGACGAAAGGAAAGCAGCAAGACAGGACGTAGTGCTGTATCAAGACACTCATTCGGATACCCCAATATCGACCGTTCGATTTAATTATACGAGTTGACTTATTAACGCGGCAGTACCTCATATCTTCATTTCTTTCACACCTGTGACTTCCCTCACTTGCATTGATGTGAAAAATAGAAGCCGTGGTCGATTAAACGTCGTCATCAGCACCTGAACTCAGAAATGAAAAAAAAAGAAAAGGAAAGTAAGAAAACAAGACGCAGGTTGTCCTCCCAAATAAGCCGCCACGCAGTATTAATCGCTTTGTGATTACGCGGAGAGAATGATATGGACTCACCGTCAAGTACCCTGATCCTGGGCATGATCTCGACATTCCGGCTGTTCTCCTTGACGATGGCATGGTAGCCCACGTCCGCGTTCACGTGCTCCAGCCGAGGGGCTGCGAAAGAGAGACAGAGAGGTGAGAAAAGAAACACAGTGCATAATCACTCTATAAACTTTACCTCTGCCCCACGGTGACGTCAACACACGACAAAACTTCCCTCACAGACAGTTAAAGCAGGTGTGTTCCACAGGACACCACAAAATCACTGAAGATTACCTTTGGACTCTATAGTTGTGGGCTATATTAGTTGTAATATACACATTGAAAGCATGCAACTAACACGCGCGATCACAAATACATGCACGCACAAAGGTGTTGTAGTTGTAGCGGCATGAAGAACACAAAAACAACAGTCGTATTTTAGTGGAGCGTATACCGCCTTAGCGCTCGTTCTTGCGCACAAGCTGCCAATAGGATTTAGCTCCAGCGTCTAGCGGCACCAAAGGAAGTATTGCTGCCTTCACACTGAAGAGCTGGAAGATTTCGTCCGTCCAACTTTGCACTTATGGCTAATCTGTGCAGTTTGAACGAAGTGTTAGGTGGTAAAGACATCTTTTATGTCGCCTTAGTGGGCAGGCTGCTGCACGGGCAAATCTCACAAAATGGAAGCGCTTGCAGGGGTCCCACACAGTCTTATCTATTCCCCTAAAATTCCGTACATTTAGCGCGCACACACACACACACACACACACACACACACACACACACACACACACACACACACACACACACACACACACACACACACACACACACACACACACACACACACACACACACACACACACACACACACACACACACACACACCATCACAGCTTTGCAAGCATAAATTATAGAAAAGCGTTACGACACGATGCTGTAATCAATGTCTGCACATCTGAATAATTCGACCGCGGTTACCATGGAAGCGAATGGTTCGCGCCACTCTATACGCTCCAACCAATGTTCAAATAAAAATTCGGTGCGCGAACAAACGGTCTCCGCTGAAGCCTACGCAAGCGAGAAAACGCATACAACCATTGGGTCGATTTTTTCTGCCACTATGGCGCCGTCATGATTGTCTCCAAGCTCATCAAATCCACCTTCCAAAGAAAGCGGCCAGACGAGCGCCTTTCTCCGGCAGAGGTAACATTTGAGAGCGAGAGACATGTTCAAACCACTTTTCACGCACTACTGCCACTCCATTCGAAAGTATTGCGCCCAACCACTCAGTCGAGGAGCACCAGGCGAACCTTTGTGAGAGCTTTTCTTATGCCCGCCACTCAGATCAGACAGAAGTGAAGGAGGTAAAACGAGGCACAGCAGCAGAGCGGCATCCGGTAACTGCTTTGTGGAAGCCACAGGCAGCCAAAGGCTAACAGACGCAAACAAAAAGAAACATTAGATGGCAGTGGGAGTTTGAATCGAGATGGGTAAATGAAATGGAGACCGCTATAACGCCTCTACACAGAGTCGAAAAGCTATCCCTCAATTGAAGTCGCGCAGGACGATTCGAACTCATCCAGCAAAAAAAAAAAAAAAAAAAAAAAAAAAAAAAAACCCAGAAACGTAACAACATATAAAAAAAACCTGCCTGCGCACAAGTTCAACTCGAACCCAGTGTGTCGGTGACGATCGCCGCTTTGCGGAATGCCAGATTCGCGAAACTTGGAGACAGGTCAGGAAGATGCGAGCGAGAAAAAATAAATAAATAAATAAAAAATGTACTTTCCCTCAGCGTCCTGAGCCGACGAGAAAGCGGACACTAAAAACTAGAAAAAAAAAATAAAAAACCTCATTTCCGCGCTACTTCGGTAGCGCGGAAATGAGGTGTTAGTAGATGTCAAAAAAAAAAAAAAAAATCAGTTGGGAAGCTGTAAAACAGTCCTAAATGTAACGAAAGAAGGGAAAGCACCAGAGGGGCTACCTTTTCACTACGAGCCCCCCCCCCCCCCCCCAACCCCCACTCAGCGCCCCATTCGGGGCGTTGTTCATCCGCGACGACACCATTGGGACAACGCACAGAGAAGGTTTTCTAAAGGAATGTCGGCAAAAGGGAGATTCACCTCTTCCTGTGTGCAAGCCAAATAAGAAAAAGGAAATCAGACGCCACTCGCGTCAGGAATCAGGAGGGATTTCATGTGCCAAACATCAAATAGAGCGAGGAGGATTAGAAATAAGGAAAAAAAAAGGTGGCTCGGAAACGAGAATAGTTGTTCAAAGAAAGAGAAATGGAAAGAGAAAGGGATAGGAGCGTCTTAGTGGAACGAAAAGAAAAAAAAATGTCAGAAAAGCTTCTGGAGTTCCGAGAAGGCGACAAAAGGGGAAAAAAAAGTTAAGGAAAAAGGTGACACGATCGCGACAGGTTAGATAGGAAAAAAAAAAACACAAGAAAATAGACAACGGCAAGGCAAGGAAAGTGAACGTCGGGAAGTTAAGTCAAGGTGCAAGGTTGACATCTTTTATTTATGAAGCAACTTGCATCTATGTCGGCATGTGTCATGGACGAGACGCTTTCGGAAACAAAGCGAGCGAATTGGGGAAGAAAAAAGTAAATATGGCAAAAAAACACCTTTGGCGCGTTTGTGAGCTCCTGTTGCTAGGACCATGGCGAGTCAGGGAGAATCTGGGAGGCGTTGATCTCACCGGTACGTATAGAGCAGCAACACTAACTACACCCCACCCCCCCTCGCCACTTCTTCAAGGAGAACCGACAAGATTAGGAGACATTGGAAAAGGGACATTTGCCGTTTGCCTAGTATGAAGTGTTAACGCTGTCAAACAACGCACAGAAAGTATTTTACCTTGTAAAGTACCGCGCCTTCAAGCCTGTCCCACTGCAATACGCAGCATCCCGACGAGTCAACAGAGTTCCGGTTGTGCGTACTGCATGCCGCTCAGACTACGGATATCACTGTCAGGGTCACTGGACGACAATTCACCCATCGTTGTTTACGTATACCACGAACAGTTCACGGCGTTCCCGCTAGTACGCTGCGGGTCACTGACGTGTCACTGACGTGTCACTGCGAAGCCACTAACTCTCGACACCGAAACCAAAAGTCTTTTTTTTTTCCAAGACAGCAGTAACAAATATATATTAGACACATTCCCAGGCACCACATACTCGTTTTGGGTTTCTCTACCCCGGTATACTTACTTAAAGCAGCAATCCAATTTTTTAGGAGCGAGGCTCCTCTTAGTCTAACCTTGTCCCGCGTCAGGCGTAACCGGCAGTAACTCCCGAACAGTGTAATAGATGGCGCTGTCTCACATAAGTACATACAAACTGTGGCTGAGTGAGGATATTCTAGATGGCGCTGTACCGCTACTCTCCGATTGGCTGCTACGTGGGCTGTGCCTGGGTGCGCGGGGAACGAGTGCCTCTCTCAGTCACATGGATCGTCACCGTCCGTGTAGGATCGTTGGTGGGGCTGGGCAAAGCGGAGCAGCGGGTGCGGAGGGCCGCGGCAGCTCGTGCTCGTTCGTCGCCAGACGGACAAAGAGGCAGGCAGACAGATGGACGAGCGGAAACATGGACGGAAGCACGGACGGACGGACGCTTCGCCTCGCTCATCGTCATTCACTCCTTGGATATGCTGTGAATTTCTTAAATTACCCTTTCATTACTCATTTAAGCAAATCTGTTATGACGCGCAATTTGGCGTCGTACGAGAAATCAAGCAGGTGTGATATCAAGCTCCCGACTGGGGTGCAGAAAATCCATCTTGAGCTCCCAATTACGCAACTACTTCTTCACCTTCCTGTAAAAGAAGACAGCGACGCGCGTGACACCTCTGCCATCATTCAAATTCACTCACGCTACTTCGTGCGTTTTCTATAAAAAAGTAAAAAACAACAATAGAATTTTTAAAAGGCAATATTGAATTATTGATCACCAACACGCACGGGCACATAAATAATTTTGCTGCTTAAACTATTACTATAGACCAGCGTTACTTGCCTAAGACGCCAAAGTTACTAAATTGAGAACTGGCTAGAAGAAGTACACACTATTTCTTTCGTAAATGAACTTATGACGCATAGCCTAATTTACCATTTTAGCCAGTTAACGTGAGGTAGCAAGGCACGTTCCTTTTGCGGAAATTATTCTGAAGTGGGCCTTGTATATTTTCGAAATTTAGGCACGCGTTTCAAAATTCAACAACTAAGTGCCCATAGTAGTAACAAACGTTTTATCCTGCACTTCAAATAATGTGTATTGAAAAAAAAAAAGACCCGAAAGCCCATTAACGCTACCACAAAATTGACCGAGCTTAACGCAAGACCTGTGCAAGAGCTTGGACGTTAGAAAATTCACGTAAACCCAACCAACGGCCGCCACCGCGCGCAAGTATCGGACGCTTTCAGCGGACCATTGTTTGCTTGCCGTTCAGTTCGAGAAAGCTTTGAAGGTAACGAGCGCCGTATTTTTACGTTTCCGCCAAACGCTTGCCAAACGCGCGGCCTGAACGGCCTAGGTTCTTTTTCAACGCCGCTCCAGGGAGCTGTATTTCGCTACGCGAGCGCTGAAACACTTGCACTTTCGGGCGTGCGCCTCGCCGTGTTCTGCACTGTTATGCAGTCGGAGCTTATACTTCTGCTTGCTTTACTTTGTTTAATCTACGCCACCAATCCTTGGGTCGCAACGTTAGCAACCCGTTCGCCACTCGACGGCGCGGACAGTTAGAATTTATCGCCCGGCTTTGAATACGGACACGGGCCGTCGAACGTAAGCGTAATACGTGTGGCTTGGTGTCGGCTGTATAGAATGCGGAGCCGTAGGAGCCTGTTTATTTATTCTCTGAGTCCGCAGAAAGAAAAAAAAAAAAGATCCACGTTTCGAAAGGGAGAATCGAACCGTCAGAAAAAAAAAAAAAACAACAACGTTCGAGGGTTTTCTACACAGCGTCTTCGCGGCGCACGTAAACATGCGACTATATAGGGTATACCCGTTCTCATTACCCGGTTATCTCTCTCTCTCTCTCTTTTGAACAATGCACTACACTGTTTATTCTAATCACCCTCTCCACTCTTCTGGAACCGAGAATACCGTGGAAGGTGAGAAGAAG